TCCCAACTCCCGCCCTGTAATGACTCACCTTCACCACCCAAGACCCCTTCCCCCACCCTAATGAACCCCAACTCCTTCCCCACTCTCTCCACCTGACCCCTCTTCCCCATCTGATTCACCTGTACCTTTCAAACCTTCCCCCCTTTCCTAATGAGTCCTGAACCCATCATCATCTTCTTCACCTCTAACCTCCTCTGCCTTCTGACACACCATCACCCCAGACCTCCCCATCAGTCCTGAGCCCCAGCGGTCTTCTGTCAGAGACCCTGGTGCTCACACCTTCTCCAGAGTGTCACTTTCTCCTTCTCACTCCCTCCCACCCTGAACATCATCCCCTCCCGAGGTCACATGGCCCATCCCTAGGGGTCATCGCCTGGCAGCCTTGCTCCTCTCATCCCTCTCTACCCCCAGCAATCCCACCCCTTCCCCACTGTTTCTCTTCTCAGCTGGTGGCCGGGGGTCAGTTCCGAGTGGTCAAGGAGCCCCTTGGCTTCGTGAAGGTGCTGCAGTGGGTGAGTGTGGTCTGGGCCCTGGGAGAGTGAGAAAAAAATGGGGTCCAGAAGAGCTGGGGCAGAGTAGCGATGGGGAGCAAGGAATGGGTGGGGGCGACAGAAGAGGGTGGGGGAATTGGGCTCCAGGGAGAGGTCCCAGGGGGCTGGGGCCAAAGAAGATGGGCTGTGACGACACATAAGGCTGAGGGTACCCCCGTTGTGAAGTGGCAGATTGTGACGTCCTGCCTCCTCTCCTGAAGTGAGGGAGGGGCGAGAGAGGCGGAGCTTGTAGCCGATTACTGGAGGAGAGATGCAAAGCCAGTGAAACCCTGAGACAGTGAAGGAGACAGAGAGAAGGAGAGACAGGGAATGGTGGAGACAGATGGCAACACCAAGAAAAAAAGAGATGCAGAGATGTGAAAAGATATAAAGATAAGAGAGGGGAGAGACAAGCATAAAGAGACCAAATTAAAGGAGACAGAGAAAGATGCATAGAGAACAGAGATATAAAGAGAAATAGCTACAGGGATAGAGGCAGGAAAATGAAGTGTGGGAGAGAAAGAGATAAAGACACTCAGGAAAAAAAAAAGAGAAAAAGAGAAACCGATACACAGAGAAAGAGAAACAGAAGCGAGAGATGCAGCAAAGAGACAGAGACAAACAGACCAAGAAGATACAGAAAGAGACAGAGATATATATTCACACAGAGAGACAAAAAAGAGACAGAGACACAGAGAGACTAGAGAGGAAGAGAATCAGAGACATAGAGAGACAGAGATATCTGAGAAAGATAAAGACACAGAAAAATACTAAGAGAAATGGAGACACAATGAGACACAGAGACAGAGAGACACAGAGAAGGAGAGCGGTCAGGTGATGGAGAGATAGAGACAGAGACACAGGGACAGAAAGAAACAGGAAGAGACAGCCACACCCCTGTAATCAGCTTGTCCTTGGACCCGATGAGCCCTGATTAGGGGGTGGGGGTGGGGATCGCTCCATCTGCTGCTGCCTGTGCTGGGCCCCCGATCTCTCCAGAGGAGGACACCCCCTCCCACATGCACACAAGCTCACTATGGCCGTCCCCATCTCTGCTGCCCAAGGTCTTTGCCATCTTCGCCTTTGCCACATGCGGCAGCTACAGTGGGGAGCTCCGGCTGAGCGTGGAGTGTGCCAACAAGACTGAGAGTGACCTCAGCATCGAGGTTGAATTCGAGTACCCCTTCAGGTGTGCCCCCACCCTGGAATCTCAACAGACCTGGGAAAGGCAGGAGCAGGATGGGATGGGCCGTCCTCCCCAGCAGCCCCTGCCCAGCCCCCACCTCAAGAAGCCATACCCACTTGGATTGCTGTGCACTGAGCACCTGCCTTGAACCTGGCACTGTTCTAGAGGTCTAGGAATTATGTGGGGAACAAGACAGACATAGGCCATCCCCTCTGGCTCTATTCTAGGGAAGGGAAGGGAGAAGGGACAGGCAATAAACAGGATTTGAAAGTAAAAGATATACATCCACAGACACACATGCACAGATGCTCAAATGCAGTAGGTACTCAATTAATGATAGTTGATATTATTATTCAATCTTCATTCATTCATTCCATACACATTTTTGAGAATCTGTTGTATGCTGGGTGTTGCTCAAAGTCCTCGGGACATGACAATGACTAAAACGGGCCAAGCTACTCAAGGAGCTTACAAAAAAAAATTAGAGGACTAGCAAATGGTGTAACGGTTATGTCACTGGACTCCCACATAGTTGACTGTGATTCGAGTCCCAGACCCAGTGACTTAAAACTCAAGCCAGGTGCATGTGCATGCCCAAGATACAGAGAGGAGGATGGAGGAGAAGGGTTTGTGGTGTGGCCATCCCCCCAGAGGGTTGATTTCTCGTTTTCTGTCTCTGTGTCTCTCTCTGTCTCTCTAGTGAACGCATGCACCCTATAGCAAAAATATCTCTCAAAATAAATAAATAAATAAATTAGTAAAGAGAATAATTACAAATTGGAAGAAATTCAAGGAGGGGGTCCCCATGCAGGGTCTTATGACAAAATAACAAGAGGGTGCTGGTTAGAAATAGGGAATGATTAAGCCCAATTAAGTAATTCTGGCATTTATTGAGCTCACATTGTGTACTGGGCACTGTCCTGGGTGCTGGATGCACAAGAGTGAGTACCAGCGGGCATGGTCACTACCCTCACACAGATGTCTACCTCCGGGAAGATGGGGAGACAGAGACCTCCAAAAACAATTTCAGTAGAGACTTCTGAGACTCCTCCACTACTTGACCAAATCATGTAACTGCTCTGGGTCTCGAAGTCCTCCTCTGTAAAGGGAGATAATAATAACCATCTTACAGGGCTGTGATTAGCATTAAATGAGTTAGTACTTGTAAAGTGCTTAGCCCAGTGCCTAGCATACAGTAAGTAAGTGTTTCATAAGTATTTGTTCAATAAGTAAAATGAGAAGTTTAAGGGACTCGAAAGAGATTGGGGATTGAGTTGGAAACTGGGGAGGTTTGAGCATTAAGAATAAATGTAGACTCAAGAGATCACCCAGTTGGGAGAGAGAAGAGTGAAAACAGAGGAAAAGCCAACATGGGCCCTGAGCAATGATGGAAAGAACAGGCAGCACCAGGAAAACATGACCTGAGATGTAGAGGGCCAACCAGGAACCCCCAGGTTCACAGAAGCCAGGGAGGAAAGAATCTAAGGGGTAGGGGTGGGGTGACAGTGTGGAATACTGCTTAGAACCCTTTGGAAATACATAGGACCCCCAAAATCCCCTGTGGATCCTCCCACTCCTTCCATGCCTAGGACCTTGGGTTCTGAGGATCTGTCCTTTACCCACAAATCTCCTAAAAGAATTCTTTGCCCCAGTCCCCTCTTCAATCCTCCTACTGCCCTGACAATCCCTAAGGATTCCCTCTTCCCCTTTGGACACTCCCTCTTCTGACCCTGCACACTAGAAATACAGAAACTTAAACCCAAATCCAACACCAAGTTGTACCACTTAGCAGCTGTACAGCCTTGGGCAAGTCACTTAACCTTGCCAAGCCTCTGTTCATCTGTAACAGGTGTGCCCCCACCCTGGAATCTCAACAGACCTGGGAAAGGCAGGAGCAGGATGGGATGGGCCGTCCTCCCCAGCAGCCCCTGCCCAGCCCCCACCTCAAGAAGCCATACCCACTTGGATTGCTGTGCACTGAGCACCTGCCTTGAACCTGGCACTGTTCTAGAGGTCTAGGAATTATGTGGGGAACAAGACAGACATAGGCCATCCCCTCTGGCTCTATTCTAGGGAAGGGAAGGGAGAAGGGACAGGCAATAAACAGGATTTGAAAGTAAAAGATATACATCCACAGACACACATGCACAGATGCTCAAATGCAGTAGGTACTCAATTAATGATAGTTGATATTATTATTCAATCTTCATTCATTCATTCCATACACATTTTTGAGAATCTGTTGTATGCTGGGTGTTGCTCAAAGTCCTCGGGACATGACAATGACTAAAACGGGCCAAGCTACTCAAGGAGCTTACAAAAAAAAATTAGAGGACTAGCAAATGGTGTAACGGTTATGTCACTGGACTCCCACATAGTTGACTGTGATTCGAGTCCCAGACCCAGTGACTTAAAAATCACGACAAGGGGCCGGCCCAAGATACAGAGAGGAGGATGGAGGAGAAGGGTTTGTGGTGTGGCCATCCCCCCAGAGGGTTGATTTCTCGTTTTCTGTCTCTGTGTCTCTCTCTGTCTCTCTAGTGAACGCATGCACCCTATAGCAAAAATATCTCTCAAAATAAATAAATAAATAAATTAGTAAAGAGAATAATTACAAATTGGAAGAAATTCAAGGAGGGGGTCCCCATGCAGGGTCTTATGACAAAATAACAAGAGGGTGCTGGTTAGAAATAGGGAATGATTAAGCCCAATTAAGTAATTCTGGCATTTATTGAGCTCACATTGTGTACTGGGCACTGTCCTGGGTGCTGGATGCACAAGAGTGAGTACCAGCGGGCATGGTCACTACCCTCACACAGATGTCTACCTCCGGGAAGATGGGGAGACAGAGACCTCCAAAAACAATTTCAGTAGAGACTTCTGAGACTCCTCCACTACTTGACCAAATCATGTAACTGCTCTGGGTCTCGAAGTCCTCCTCTGTAAAGGGAGATAATAATAACCATCTTACAGGGCTGTGATTAGCATTAAATGAGTTAGTACTTGTAAAGTGCTTAGCCCAGTGCCTAGCATACAGTAAGTAAGTGTTTCATAAGTATTTGTTCAATAAGTAAAATGAGAAGTTTAAGGGACTCGAAAGAGATTGGGGATTGAGTTGGAAACTGGGGAGGTTTGAGCATTAAGAATAAATGTAGACTCAAGAGATCACCCAGTTGGGAGAGAGAAGAGTGAAAACAGAGGAAAAGCCAACATGGGCCCTGAGCAATGATGGAAAGAACAGGCAGCACCAGGAAAACATGACCTGAGATGTAGAGGGCCAACCAGGAACCCCCAGGTTCACAGAAGCCAGGGAGGAAAGAATCTAAGGGGTAGGGGTGGGGTGACAGTGTGGAATACTGCTTAGAACCCTTTGGAAATACATAGGACCCCCAAAATCCCCTGTGGATCCTCCCACTCCTTCCATGCCTAGGACCTTGGGTTCTGAGGATCTGTCCTTTACCCACAAATCTCCTAAAAGAATTCTTTGCCCCAGTCCCCTCTTCAATCCTCCTACTGCCCTGACAATCCCTAAGGATTCCCTCTTCCCCTTTGGACACTCCCTCTTCTGACCCTGCACACTAGAAATACAGAAACTTAAACCCAAATCCAACACCCAGTTGTACCACTTAGCAGCTGTACAGCCTTGGGCAAGTCACTTAACCTTGCCAAGCCTCTGTTCATCTGTAACATAGGTATAATATTAATAATTCCCACTTTAAAAACCAGCAGATGGTATAATGGTTATGTTGCTGAACTTCCACATATCTGACTGTGGTTCGAGTCCTGGACCCAGCAGCTTAGAACTCACCCCAGCTGCATATGTGTGTGTGTGTGTGTCCAAAATCCCGAGAGAATGGAGGAGAAGGGATTGCAGCGTGACCGTCCCTCCTAGGGGGGTGATTTTTTCTGACACCAGGCGCATGTGCGTGCATGCCCAAGATCCCGAGAGGAGACTGGAGAAGGGATTGCGGTGTGGCCATCCCCTCTAAGGGGTGACTTCTCGCTTTCTTTCTCTGTCACTCCAGTGAGCGCACGCACCCTATGGCAAAAATCTCTCCCCCCCCAAAAAAAAATAATAATAAAATAATTCCCACTTTAGTGTGTGTGTGGGGGGGGTGTCATTAAATGAGACAATTATGTAAAGTGCTTTGTAGGTGCTAAGTGTAAGCCCCTTCCTTCACAACCATTGCCACACAAGGGCACCAGCACTATTTGCTCAGTCTCAGGATCCTGTTTCCCAAACTGAGCCAGAGCTCTGGAGTCCCCACTCCAGTCACACACACACACACACACACACACACACACACACACACACACACACACACACTGTCTCCTTCAATCCCCTTATCCATCATACCACAGGTAAGGTCTGTGTCCCAGGACATCTTCCTAATCTGCCCCTCTCTCCCTACGTACACACATCCTGTTCCAAGATCCCTTCTACCTTCCTTTCTGTCTGCCTGTAGTTTCCTATTTTATGGGCTCTGGGCTCTCCTCTGCTCTACACACGTTTTTTTTCCTCTCAGGTATCACAAGTAGGATGGGGAGAATGAACATGATATAGAGGGAAAACAACGGTTTGGATCCCAATTCTGCCATTCCCTCACCCGCTGTGTGATTTTAGGCAAGTTAGTGCACTTCTCTGAGTCTCTGTTTCCATCTCTGGACATTTCATTCGATAAATATTTCTTGAGTTCCTACTATGTGCTGGCACTGTTCTAGGCCCTGGGGATAGAGCGATAGAGGAAAATGCTTTGCCCTCTTGCAGTTACAGCAAAATCAAGATTAAAAAGTAAAATACATGGTATGTCAGATGTGGATCACTGCTTCCAAGAAAAATGGACCAAGGAAGAGGATTAAGGAGTGCTGAAAGGAAATTTTAGTTTAGTTTTTTGTTTGTTTGTTTGTTTGTTTTTGTTTTGTTTTGTTTTATGTCAGAGGGTGAGAGAGAAAAATATCCCCCAATGGGACCTGGGCAAGCAGCAATCTTTTTTCCTCTGATTCTCCATCCCATCAAGATCCTGGGTACCTAGTGTGAGGCCAATGGAACCAGGATTCAAATCCCAGTCAACCATGTGGGATCTAGATTCCTCTGCACAGCACCTAACTGCTGTGTCACAGAGCTGGCCCTCAATGTGATTATTTTAAATGGCCAGAGGGCACATGTGCTCACCAGAGAGAGAGGGCCGGTCCCATAGACTGGTGGTTAAAGGTGATAGATCCCATATGGCCAAATGCAGTTCCAGTCCTGGCCTGGTGACTTGAGGAACATGCTGGGCACATGTGCATGTGTACCTAGAATCTGAAGGAATGGAAAAATATCTCTCTGTCTCTCTCTAGTAAGCACGTGCATCCTCTGGTAATTTAAAAAAAAAAGAGGGGGGTCAACAGGTGGTGTGGTGGTTGAGGTGCTAGACTCTCACATGGTCGACCACAGTTCAAGTCCCAGACCCAGTGGCTTGCTTTCTCATTTTCCTTCCCTCTCTGTCTCTCTCTGGTGAGCATGTGTGCCCTATAGCAATTTTTTAAAATGATAATGATAAATAAAATTTTTAAAAAGAGAGAGGGAGAAAGCACCCCCCAATGGGACATGGTCATACTGCAATCTCTTCTATTCCATTTCTCCATCCTGTTGGGATTTGAGGCATACACACATACACACCTGGCATGTTTGTCAAGACTCTGGGCCGGGATTCAAATCATGCATTCGACCACATGGGATCCAACTCCCTTAACCACTAGGCTATAGGGCCAGCCCTCCTCAATTTAATTTTTTTAAAGAAATTTTTTAGAGAGAGTTTTGCTATAGGGAGTGTGCACTCACCAGAGAGACAGAGAGAGACAGAGAGACAGAAAGCAAGAAATCACCCCCCAGAGGGTATGACCACACTGCAATCCTGTCTCCTCTCAGGACTTTGGGCATGCACACACATGTACCCAGCGTGAGTTTTAAGCCACTGGGTCTGGGACTTGAACCATAGTAGACTACATGAGAGTCTAGCAATGCAACCATTACACCATCTGCTGGTCCAAAGATTTCTTTTTAAATTTGTGATAGGGCATGTGCACTCACCAGAGAGAAATAGAGAGATAGAAAGAGAGGGTCTCTTAGCACTCAAATCACAGTTGACCATATGGGAGTCCAGTGCCCTAACCACCATGCCACTTGCTGGCCTGCCTCAACTTTTTGTTTTTAGAGATTTTTGTTATGGGGTATGTGCGCTCACTAGAGAGACAAAAAGTGAGAAATCACTCCCCAACGGGATGGCCATGCCACAATCCCTTCTCTCATTCTCCTCTTGGGATTTTGGGCACGGACGCACACACAACTGGCGTGAGTTTTAAGCCACTGGGTCCGGGACTCAAACCGCAATTGACTACGTAGGAGTGCAGCGATGTACCCATTATACCATCTGCTAGTCCCCTCAATTTAATTTTAAGTAGTGAGATAAGAATGTCTTGCCGAGAAAATGAAACCTTGAAGAAGATGAGGGAGTGAGATAAGAAAATATCTAGGAAGGGAACCAGCAGTTAGCGTAATGGCTATGTCGCTGGATTCCCATGTAGTCGACCGCGGTTTGTGTCCCGGACCTGGTGGCTTAGAACTCACGCCTGGCACGTGTGCGTGCATGCCCAAGATCCCGAGAGGAGAATGGAAGAGAAGGGATTGTGGCGTGACCATCCCCCCTGGGGGATGATTTCTCGCTTTCTGTCTCTATGTCTCTCTCTGTCTGTCTGGCGAGCGCACACACCCTATAGTAATAAACCTCTCAAAAAAAAAAGAAAGAAAGAAAGAAAGAAAGAAAGAAAGAAAGAAAGGAAGAAAGAAAAAGAAAATATCTAGGAGAAGAGCATTCCTGGCAAAGGGAACAACCAGTGCAAAGATACTGGGCTAAAAGGATGCCTGTAAAGTTCTAAGAATAACCAAGAGGCTAGAGGGCTAGATCGGAGTAAGGAATGGAAAACGCCTATGTCACCAGGATGCTTTGAGCAATCAGTGAAATGTGACTGGTACATAGCAGGTGCTCTGTGAACAGTTATTTCCTCCTCTTCCTGGGACCTTGTCAGAATCTGGGAAACCCGTGTCTGGGCAGGGCAGAAGGGGTGGTGTTCTTAGAGGCCAGGCCATACCTGCTCATCTCTCCTTGGCAGGCTGCACCAAGTGTACTTTGATGCACCCACCTGCCGAGGGGGTACCACCAAGGTCTTCCTCGTGGGGGACTACTCCTCATCAGCTGAATTCTTTGTCACCGTGGCTGTGTTTGCCTTCCTCTACTCCATGGGGGCTCTGGCCACCTATATCTTCCTGCAGAACAAGTACCGTGAGAACAACAAAGGGCCCATGATGGTGAGTCCCCTACCCCCACCCACTGGATGCAAGGGCCATGGGAACACATGCTCTCCATCAAATCCCAGACAGGCCCACATGCAAGCAGCCACCTTAACAGCCACGTGTGCTGTTGCTATCGTTCCTGTGAACCCACACCAGCCATCAGGGAGGAGGAGTCATAGTCACAGGGACATACTCACAGCCTACAGAGAATCCCAGACAGGCCTACGCCGGTGAACCTGCCGACTCTCACACAACCACGCAGTCTAGATCAAAGGAAGGAGCACACCGAGGTTCATGGTGACAGGCACACATGTCATCGTGCCACACAGACACAGATTCCTACACAACTGTACTCACACACTCTCATCCCAGTCACAAAATGACACACATTCCCACATGCAGACGGAAGTGGAAAGACACACTACTTTCCGCAGATTCGGAAACCATCCCACAGAGTTCCCCACACAACACCCACACCCTCACATCACAGTCACACAACCACATCCTCTGAGGCATGTACACACACACAAGCCAACGCTGGGAAGGCCACCTTCAGGTGAAAGTGTTGTGGGCTTCAGAGCTGAAAAAGAAGGGGGGACACAGGCCTCTTCCGGGGGACCCCCACCTAAGAAAGCCTGAGACCCAAATAGGCCCCAGGGCCCCACGTGCAGCAGCCCATGCTCAGTGTTGCTTTCTCCACCCCCACCTGCTCTAGGACTTTCTGGCCACAGCAGTGTTTGCTTTCATGTGGCTAGTTAGCTCATCAGCATGGGCCAAGGGGCTGTCCGACGTGAAGATGGCCACAGACCCAGAGAACATTATCAAGGAAATGGCTGTCTGTCGCCAGACAGGGATCGTATGCAAAGAACTGAGGGACCCTGTGACTTCGGGGCTCAACACCTCAGTGGTAAGTCCTGGGAAGCTAGCTAAAAAGCTGAGTGGGCTGACTGGAGGAGGGGTGCAGGGAAATTTGCCGTCTGGCATGGAGAGTGATGGGGAACGAGAATGAGAGAAAGAGAATCAGGAACATCCAAGCGGGCTCCCTGGAGTAGGCATGCCAACAAAACAGTGTTGATGAGATAGCAATTATAACTACTGTGACACCACAGATCATCCCCTCCGTGGGGGACGAGGGGGTGACAAGAGACTTTCTGTCCAGATTCGATGTGGGAGATCTGGATCCCACACCCAGCTTAGTCATGTAGAATCTCAATACCCTCTTGGGACCTCAGTTACCTCATGCACAAAATGAAGTAATTTATGTTTCCCCACCTGGACGCCCCCTACTGGCTGGATTCAAACTGTCTGAGCTCAAAACCTAGCTTTGCCACTTCTGAGCTCTGTGACCTGAAACTAGTTACACAGCCTCCTGGGGCTGTTTGAGCTTGGAAATTGAAGGCTAATAATAGGCCCTGCTCCAAAGTTGAGTATTTAGCGAACTAATAACATACAAAGTGCTTAGATAAGGACCTGCCATGAAGTAAGTCCTATACTAGTATTATAGATGCTAAGATCCCAACTCTTCTTTCCTTTCACTTGCTGGCTGAGCTCTCAGGTAACTTGGCTTCTCTGGGCCTGTTTCCTTAACTGTAAAATGAAGATATTACTTCCTGCTACCAAATTGAATTTTAAGAGTATTAATAACATATAAAGTTGCTTAAAAGAGGGCCTGATGGGACCAGCAGATGATATAATGGTTACATTGCTGGATTCCCACATAGTCTACCTCGGTTCAAGTCCCAGATCTAGCAGCTTAAAACTCACGCTGGGGGGACCAGCAGTTAGCGTAATAGCTATGTCGCTGAATTCCCATGTAGTTGATCCTGGACCTGGTGGCTTAAACTCACACTGGGCGCAGGTGTGCGTGCCGAAGATCCCGAGAGGAGAATGGAGGAGAAGGGATTGTGGCATGGCCATCCTCCCTGGGGGGTGATTTCTCGCTTTCTGTCTCTCTGTCTCTCTCTGTTTCTCTGGCGAGTGCATGTGCCCTGTAGCAAAAACCTCTCCAAAAAAAAAAAACAACAACAACAACAAAAACCTCACGCTGGGCACATGTGTGTGTGTGTGTGTATGTGCCCAAAATCCCAAGAGGAGACTGGAGAAGAGATTGTGATGTGGCCATCTCCCTGGGAGTGATTTCTTGCTTTTTGTCTCTGTCTCTCCAGCAAGTGTACTCACCCTATAGCAAAAAATTTCTCCGGGGGGGGGGAAGAGGTCCTGACATATATACAGTAAAAGGTATATGAAGTGTTTTGGTTTTTTTTTTTAAGTTTTTTCTAAAAGACACATGCACTTAACAGAGAGAGAGACAGAGAAAGGGAGAGAAAAGTCACCCCTCCAGGGATGACCATGTTGCAATCCCTTCTCCATTCTCTCAGGATTTAGGGCACATGTGTTGGAGACCAAGATTTGAACCACACAGCCGGCCATGTGGAATCCAGCTGTCTTAATCACCATGCCAGCAGCTGGCACAGATATATATTTTATACAAGCCTCATAAACCTATATTTTAATATGAAAGTATATATTTATGTATTTTATACATGTGCATTTATACATATATTTGTATAGACATATATGTGTACATATGCATTGGTTAGTGTTATATCTATATCTTAAGTGTATGCTTACATTTTACTATATATTACAAATTTAAATGTACTATATTTTATACATGTATAACTTAATTGTGTGCAGATATATGAATACTTCTGTATATATAATAGATTGCAACACCCTCGGGAATCTGAATTCTAACATGCCCTCCCCCAAGGCGATTTGTCTGCACATTGACGTTCACATGATAAGACTCAGGTCCGGTTTCAGAATCCACTGCTTTTGAGGAGCCCACAGATTCATGTCCGGTGTGCTCATTCCTGAGCACGCGGCCATGATATCCCCGGGAAAGCCAGGGCAACAGGCAAGGGACGACACCCGAGCCTTTTCTTTCTGCAGGTGTTCGGCTTTCTGAACCTGGTGCTCTGGGTCGGCAACCTGTGGTTTGTGTTCAAGGAGACAGGCTGGGCCGCCCCATTCCTGCGCGCGCCTCCAGGCGCCCCCGAGAAGCAACCAGCACCTGGAGACGCCTATGGCGATGCGGGTTACGGGCAAGGCCCCGGCGGGTATGGGCCCCAGGACTCCTACGGGCCCCAGGGGGCCCCAGGCCTCCTCCGGCCCCCAGGGCGGCTACCAGCCCGACTACGGGCAGCCTGCTGGCGGCGGTGGCGGCGGCTACGGGCCTCAGGGCGACTATGGGCAGCAAGGCTACGGCCCACAGGGTGCGCCCACCTCCTTCTCCAATCAGATGTAGTCTGGTGAGTGACGGGCGGGCGGTGTGGCCAAGGAAGGAATATGAAAGGAGATGGGCATCTCAATAAGCCAATAAGAATCAGGGATAGATGGTATGTAGGGCATTTGTCAAGCTAGTAAGGGTCAAAGTTTGGAGGAACCAATAGAGAGGCAGAGCTACCTGCAAAGAGCAGAAAACTTGCCAGTGAATGGAGAATGTAGTCTGGTGAGTGACGGGCGGGCGGTGTGGCCAAGGAAGGAATATGAAAGGAGATGGGCATCTCAATAAGCCAATAAGAATCAGGGATAGATGGTATGTAGGGCATTTGTCAAGCTAGTAAGGGTCAAAGTTTGGAGGAACCAATAGAGAGGCAGAGCTACCTGCAAAGAGCAGAAAACTTGCCAGTGAATGGAGAGCAGGAGGGCGGTGCTTGAAGATGGACAGAATGAAAAGCCAACGGGAAGGAGGTAGAAATACAGCTCGGTGGAAACGGAGGGGAGAGCGAAGTGGGCAGAGCTACCAATGAAAAGAGGGACTAGCAGGGGAGCTTGCAGGAAGGAGGAGCTGTAGAGCGCTGTAGCCACGGAAGGGGAAAGGAGGTGGGTCTTAGAAGTGATTGATAAGTGATTTGGCCAATAGATGGTGAGGGTAAATGTGCGTGGTCCTGCAGGTCAGATGAGCTCATCAAGGTGGGAGGAGGTAATAAACCTGCTACCTCTCCCCAACCCTCGAGGTGAATGAGGTGATGTGGAATTTCAAAGGAGAAAAACGCCTTGAAAAGGCTTGATGGCCTTGTCGCTGGGCTTTAAGAAGAGTGAGATTTCTGTCAAATATGAAGAAGCAAGGCAGGGAGAAAAGGCAGGGTTATGGAGTGAGCAGAGAAAGCAAGGAGGTAGCAACACGTGGGTGGAGGTGGCTTCTATCTCTGGGTTAGCCAAGAAAGAAAGGCCAGGGAATTTTAAGAATTTCACATCTAATTCATTTTTTTAAATCCTGTTGGCTCTACCTTCAAAATATTTCCATAATCTCCCCACTTCTCACTGCTGGATCTCTTCATGGTTCTCCATCTCCATTCCTATTACATCCTAAATTAGGCCACCACCCTCCTGTGCTCAGAAGTCTGCTGCGACTCCCATCTCACTCAAATTAAAAGTGGAAGTCTTCACTATAGTCATAAGGCCTTATACCTTCCCCCTACTTCTCTGACCTCACCTCCTGAAACTGACACATGGCCACATGCTATTTCAGCCCCACTGGCCACCTCAGTGTACTAAGCATAATCTGACTTCAAGGCTTTTGTACTTGCTTTCTCTCTGGAATTTCACACCCACAAACACTAATTTTACCTGGTCAGCATCCTTTCATCCTTTTGGTCACTTGCTCAGTGAGGCGTTGAGTCACTACCCTGTCTAAAACAAGCCCCTTTGTTATCTCTCTCATAATACCCTATGCTTCGCTTTATTACAATCTGTAATTTGTTTATATATTTATTTACTGTCTTCTACTAGGCTAGGGATGTGATCATACATATTCATGCTGTATACACACATATCACTTAGCACTCTTTTTTTTTTTTAGTTTTGGTTTATTTTTCTTTCCTCTTCCTTTTTCTTCTTTTCTTCTTTTATTTTTCTGTACATTTGATCACTGTACATCTCCACAGCACACAAAATGAACCTTCCCAACATGGATAGACTGCATATCAGTCCAGTCAAAGACAATACCATACACATTAGCATCAACAGGTTTCATTTGTTTGTTTGTTTGTTAATGATAGCATATATGTGTATGAGAGAGAAAGAAAATCCTTGTTAGGGTCTTGTCACACCATAATCCCCTTCCTCCAGCCCTCCAGCTCCTCAGGTTCTTGGGTGCCCACATGTTTTCGGGCCCACCCAGGGATCCAAATCAGCAGTTGGCCACGTGACTTCCAGCCTTGCAGGGCATTTCCTTACCACTGTACTACAGTGCCTGGCCCAGAGCACTCTTTAATCTTTTTTTTTTTTTTTTGTTAGGGTCTTGTCACACCATAATCCCCTTCCTCCAGCCCTCCAGCTCCTCAGGTTCTTGGGTGCCCACATGTTTTCGGGCCCACCCAGGGATCCAAATCAGCAGTTGGCCACGTGACTTCCAGCCTTGCAGGGCATTTCCTTACCACTGTACTACAGTGCCTGGCCCAGAGCACTCTTTAATCTTTTTTTTTTTTTTTGAGAGGTTATTGGGCATACACACACACGTACCTGGCATGAGTTTAAGCCACCGGTTTCAGGACTCGAACCGTGGTTGACTACGTGGGAGTCCAGCGACATAGCCATTACGCTAACTGCTGGTCCCGCCCAGAGCACTCTTAATGTTAAGAAACATTGAGTAGGGGCAAAGAGGTGACATAGTGGTTAAGGTGCTGAACTCCCACATGGCTAACCATGGTTCGAGTTAATCAGTCTTGATTGGGTCCCTCTCTTACCCCCACCCTTTTCCCTGCTTCCCTTGGCCCCTCTCTGTTCTCCAGCCCTGTCCCCTGAGGTTAGGGGTCTCCGAAAGGGGGACAGGGAAGAGACAGACCTCAGCTATATGGGGAAGGTTCCAGACCCAGAGGCTTGAAACTCATGCCAGGCACGTGTGCATGCATGCCCAAAATCCTGAGAGAAGAACGGAGGAGAAGAGATTGTGGTGTGGGTATCCCCCCAGGAGGTGATTTCTCACTTTCTCTCCGTCTCTCCAACAAGTGTACGTGCTTATAGCAAAATCTCTCTCTTAAAAAAGAGAGAAACATCGAGTAAATGAAAGCAACATCGCATGAAACATTTTTCTTTTTTGCTCAAACTGTTCCATAACTTACATTTGATCCAGAGTCAAAGCCGACATACTCGTTGTCTGACTCACAGGCTCTGTGTGACCCCATTACCTACCTTCGTGACATCATCTTCTACCACTCTCCCCCTTGCTCACTCCACTTTGTTTTTTCCATTTCACTTATTATCTATCACCTTGTGTTACACTAGATAATTCCCTTATGTGGCATGTTCATTGTCTGTCTCTCCCTGCTACAATGCAAGCTCCACAAAGACAAGGATCTTTGTTTTGTTGGATATAGTTTATCACCAATGGCTAGAACAGTACCTGTTAATGGACTGTTTTTTTTTGGGGGGGGAGGGAGGGGGAGAGGGACAAGAATCACTCTCATACCTAACCCAGTAAAGGCAAGGTCAGAAATGGCTTCCCAGGAGGAGCAGTTGGAATGAAGCTGCCTTCAGGACTATGGGTGAAAGAAGGAGGAAGAACAGACATGCCAGGCGGAGGATAAAGCCAGGTCAAAGGCATAGCAGCCTAGTCCCTCCCTGAGGGCACCACCTGTGTCTGGACCCCCTCTCCTTTTTGTGTCTTTTGTCTCTACAGGTCAGTGCAGCCCGGGAGGACCCCATAGGTGGGCAAGAGCTCAGGAGAAGGCCTGCCCCCCTTCCCACTCCTATACCCTAGGTCTCCGCCCCTGAAGCAAGGAGACCCTAACTGTCTTTGCTGTTTATATATATATATATTATATATAAATATCTATTTATCTGTCTGAGGCCTGCCCTCACTCCACTCCCCTCATGCACTAGTGCCCAGTCTTGAGTGGGTCCCTCTCTTACCCCCACCCTTTTCCCTGCTTCCCTTGGCCCCTCTCTGTTCTCCAGCCCTGTCCCCTGAGGTTAGGGGGCTCTGAAAGGGGGACAGGGAAGGGACAGACCTCAGCTGTGTGGGGAGGGTGGATGTGACTTCAGACTCTCCCCTCCCCTTCTCCCAGCTCTGGCCTTGGGGGAAATTCAACCCAGAGATGAGGAGAAAGGCAGAGATTGGGGGGATATGGAGTAGAGAGGACAGTTTAGGACCCAAGGTGGTCTCGGAGGGGAGCCCTAGAGTGGAGGGGTCTGCAGGAGTTTTGGGTTCCAGACATACTGGATCTGGAGTCTAAAGGAGGGGAGCACCCTAGAGCATTCTGGGATGGGGCTTGGAAGGAGGCTGAGGGCAAGGCTTTAGAAGGGGTGGGGCTTTAGGTGAGCCAGCTGGTGGGCTCCAGAGTAGGCCAGGCTTGGAGTAGGACTCAGTTCTGTGGAAAGGGTGTGGCTTAGGGCGTGGGGACAGAGTTTGGAAGAACACTGAGAGTGCGGTTCTAGAAGTGGGGGGCTTGAACCAGACAGTAGGTGAGGTTCCAATGTGGGTGAATCTTGCAGTAGGGCCATAGTCTGTGGAAGAGGTGTGCATTGGAACACACCAGACATTGAGCTTCATTCTAAAAGGGACAGATCTTGAAGAGGCAAGAAGTGGGATTCAGGAATGGGCCAATCTTTGGGTGAGGTCCTGGTCTGGGTTCCAGGTGGGCCGGAGCTTAGAGTGGGGTGCGCATGGTCATTTCAGAAGGGGCAACCCCCCTCCCTAATGGGGAGGTGAAGAAAATAAGTTTTAAAGTGGGTGGGTTTGGCAGTAGGTGTGGTGGGGCTTGGTTAGGGACTGTGGGATAAATTATGTTATGGGAGAAGGGGGATACCCCTAACCAACGTTGGGAACCAAGGGGGCCTGGGAAGAGCTGAGTGGTTTGGAGGGTAAGGGATGGGATCCAGAGAGACACACCCCCACACTCTTGCCCACCCTGTGAGGAGACAGCTAGGTAATCAGAGAACAGAGCCAATAGGTCTGTGGGGCTGGCCCACCCCTCTTCCCCCTTCCCTGCCCCCTCCCTCCCTCCATACCCCCACCCGTGCAAGGGTGGTTAGAGACCTGGTCTGGAGCCCCTGTCCTGCACCCTCTGCTGTGTCTGTGATGTCTGTAGTGCCTGTGATCGTGTGTTGCCATTTTGTCTGGCTGTGGCCCCTCCCCGACCCCTCCAGACCCCCTCCCTTTCCTGCGCCCTTCGGTATTGTTTGAAGACCCTCTCTCCCTGAGAAAGAGCAAATATGATTAATTATCCTCCCTCAAATAAACTCCTCAACCACCTAGTTCTCCCGGCTCTGATTTCCCAGTGTTTGCTTTTTGGGGAAGGGATGAGCAGTGAATAGGGGAAGAGGAGGTAAGAGGAAGCTCCGCCCCGGATCTGCGGTAAGTGGTTCAGATTGCGACCTGATTCTAGGCGGTTCTGACAGCAGTAGGCCATACAGCATCTTCTTGTGAAGCCTCCCCTGCTGCTCATTCTGTGTCACACTCTGAGTAATCCTACTTGCTGTCCCACTACTGGCGGCTGTGGACCCAGTCTTGGTGTAGTTCTAATTCTGCTCCCTCAGCCATGCTCCTTCCCAGCCCCAGTTAAGCCCTTGCCTCAAATCCCTAAGAGGCCAAAAAGACAACCTCCCTCATCCCCCCCCCACACACAGGTGTCATAGGGATGGGGGAGGATACCCAACCCGCTTGGTATTCTTCAGACCCTGCTGTCTCTGCGTTTCCTCGCCTCCGCCCCAGCTGGAGAACCAGGAGACCAAGCTTGGCAGCAAGGCCGGGAGGCGGGACGCCAGGCTGACTCCTGAGTTAATTAATTCATTAATTCTCTCTTACCCTTTCCCAACCCCTCCCTGGGGCAAGGAGGGGCGGGAAGTGACTACAGTGTGTCTGTAATGGGGGGGGGAGGTCCCCGGCACCCACGATGAAAGGCCTGGCTGACTGCCACCTCCTCTGTGCCTAATTAGAGACCCTAGCCGGCGCCTGAGTTCTGACAGCAGGGGCAGGATCCCCCCCCCCCCAGCTTGGAGGCGCAGCAAAGCCCTGGAGCGCGAAGGAGAAATTCCCAGCTCTGGGGCTGAGCTCTAGGAAGGGGATATCTAACTGGAGTGAGAAAAATGAGGGCGGGACAGAGAGGCCTAAAGATCTACCAGTGGGCCACAAAAAGTTCCTGGGAAAAAAAAGTTCCTGGAAAATGGAATTAAAGTTTGAATTCGGGGCCAGCAGGTGGGCATGGTGGTTGAGGCGCTGGACTCCCACATGGGCAACCGTGGTTCCAGTCCCAGACCTTGGGAAGGATGGCCACGCTGCAATCCCTTCTCCTCCATTCTCCTCTCTGGATCTTGGACATGCACACATATGTGCCCAGCGCTAGTTTAAGCCACCAAGTCCGGGACTCGAACCACAGTTGACTACATGGGAGTCCAGCAACATAGCCATTATGCCAACTGCTGGTCCCCTCTCTTTCTATAGTCAAAAAAATAATAATAAATAAATAAAAATTTTAAAATAAAGTATGAGTTCGTTTTGGTACCAAAAATTCATATACAGTTTTTTTCATAAATGCATTATCCATAACTGTTTGAAGACCCCTCCTACTTATCAGGCCTTCGGAGGCTCACAGCCATTGCAAGGATAGAAAGGGAGCAAGGAAGAAGGTCTTGGAGCCTGGCCAGAGACTTTAGCCTCCACCCCGTAAACCTCAGATAATCCTGCTGAGAGGGGAATGGAAAGAGAGGGGTGTGTACAAGATCTATCTCTCTGGTGCAAGCGAAGAAGCACTTGCTGGGGCTGCAGAAGAGGTGGGGGCTGCTTCTGTGGCATTCATCCAGGGGAAAGAGACCCTTGGAACCTCACCAAGGGGAAAGGGGTGAAGATCTGACTTTAACCCTTTCCCAAATAAGCATCCAAGATAAACTGATGAAGCATCATCAATATGAGCACTCTAGCGTGCCACCTTTTTCAGACAGCCACCTCCAAGTCCCCCCGCCTCCAATGCAGAGCCCTCAAGTCTTAAAATGTCCCGTGAGAGGCCACGTGGCATACTGGGGTTCTGGGAGTTCTGCCTTCTCTCTCCCGGCTCTGGCCCAGGGCGGGAGGTAAGGGGACTTTTACACCCTGCGCTCCTGGCCTGCGTGCAGCTCACCTCTAGGCAGGGGGCGCCTTGGCCTCGGAAAGACAGCTGACCCGGGGGCGGGTCCTGTGGGGCGCGCTCCTCCCACACCGGTGTCAGGTTTACGGAACAGAACTCCCAGGCCGGACGCGCGGTGGCCTGACCGCCGCGAGGATTCCG